ATTTTCTATTTCCGCTCTTCTAATCTTCGATGCTTGACTACTTCTACTTTTTGTCGACTTCGAAGGAGCTTTTTCAATAATTTCCACTTCATTTTCATCGTCTTGTTGATGGGTTTTGGTAACATCAGTTTCTGATCGGGTATCTTTCCTGAGTACTTTCTGTTTCAGCCTTTCGCTGCGTCTTACGAAATCAGATTTTGCTTGTACATTCATAGCTTCGATTATCGTATCCAAAGTGCTGTTCAGTTAATATCTCGAAGGACCATTTATTGTATTTACCTGCAATATTCCTTATTATATCCGGCTCGATGGACCATTTATTGTATTTACCTGCAATATTCCTTATTATATCCTAGCTCGAAGAACCAAATTAGCAATGAAATAGTCAAATTATAGTTTTTATTATCTGACACAATCAATCAATCGATATATATATATTAACAACCAAGTCTTTCTAGATTATTCACATCAATATACTGGGTGACAAATTATCAACTGAAATATCATGATTAATTACATATAAATATAACATTCAAGTTATCGGATCTAATGTGGCGGTTGAGTTTTGTAATTTTGATTCGATTCTATTCAAAATTGGTATCTGGGGATTTTCGGGGTCGGACATTATGATTCTTCCGTCAGAATTTGGAAATTCAAGATGACGGATCCATTTTTCGAACAGATATTGTTTCATAGAATACTCAAAGTTTTTGAAATGCATTACTTTGAATTCAGAAGGAATTTCATTATGTATTTCAGCACAGCTATAATATACACTTTTTTCAAATAAGGAAGTATTGTGTTGACCTAATAATATCAGTTCATTGCATTGGCGGGTGGAGGAAGAGCTGAATGTGAATATCGATTTGTTTTTGTGGGCAAACAATAGGATTTCAAAAATGTAAGCTTAACCCTTGATTATACAGGGTGTCCCATTGAGAAACGGAAAAACTTCAACAGTGGGTAGAGCTCATGAAGGTGGTCTGAATATACCATATTTGTAGGGTCTCGCAAGTTTTATATCCGAGATATAGGGTGTTTTATCAATTTTGTTCAATTCTTTGTGAGGAAATAACTTACAAACCACCCAGTATATTCATTTGGAATTCGGTACACAATTTCGCCTTCTTCTACCAAAGTGACTCACCTATCAGTCACGACAAAAATCCAGGACCGGATCAACGAAAATCGATCATATATCTGGACCCCAAAAATATCAAACTGTATTTTCGAATTTGCAAAATCCGCTCACATATTTGGAAAGTGCATGAAAATCTGAATCGTATGATGTACTTTTCATTTTTCCGCATGCTATTTCACTAGGTAATATCTGATTTTGAATATGAGGTTTCATGCATTTGGATAGGTCAAAATGAAATGTTTTGAGTTTTCCCAATCGAATAACAAAAACTATCACGAATGACCCAGTATATTCTTTTGGAATTTGGTACACAAGTCCTCCTCCTTCTACCTCAGCGACTCACCTATCAGTCACGATGAAAATCCAGGTCCGGATTAACGAAAAATTATGATCTTCTGGGCCCGAAAAAGAACACCCAGTATTTTCGAATTTCCAAAATCCGATTCCATATTTGGAAAGTTCACAAAGAGATGAATCGAATTGTGTACTTGTCAATATGCCGCATGCTCTTTCACTAATTAATTTCTTATTCTGAAAACTCAAAACTGTACATCTTACCTCGATTTCTACCAAATGCATAAAACCTCAAATTCAAAATCAGATATTCAGCAGTGAAATAGCATTCGTATGAAACCAAAAAGTAGACAATCCGATTCAGCTTTTTGTGCAATTTTCAAATATGTATGCATATTATGGAAATTCGAAAATACAGGGTGTTCTTTTTGGAGCCCAGAAATATAATCAATTTTCGTTAATTCGGACCTGGATTTTTCTCGTGAATGATAAGTGAGGGGCTTGGGTAGATCAAGGAGAACTCGTGTACCAAATCCAAAAAAAAAAATATTTTTTTCTATGACTGTTGAAAACTAGACCCTTTTAATGTAACATTTTTGTGGGGTAACTGGATGCATTACACAAAACAAGCCACGCCCCGTGTGTAAGAGCCTTTACACAACAGGCTATGGCCAATCAGCAACAAAGCAGATTCATTACCTACAAAACAGTTGACACCAGTTGTAATGATAATATGGGGCATGCAGTGAAACGTTTGAATCAGACTCGTCATGAAATGTCATAATTTGACAATGGCTATCTGGCGTGATTTAGAACTGACTTTTTGTACAAATATGGATTCAGAAACCGAAAATGAATTCAACTGCTCTCCACCATCAGAAGTTTTGGAAGCTGCCAATTCAAGTACAATCAGCCTTTTGCCCGAGGAATCTAAAAAAAGGTATGAAGTGGTTTGGCGAAAAGCAAAACTTGCAAATTCGTTTTTGGATAATGTACTGCTAGCCTATTTTGGCGAATTAGCAGCTAAACACAAAGCATCCTCCTTGTGGCACAGTATTCCATGCATATACTAAGAAGCACAATTTCAATAAAAAATCATGTGAATATTGACAAATATTTGAAATTACGAGCATTTCTAAAAAGGAAATCTGATGGATATATGTCAAAGAAAGCGAAGATATTCACTGCTGATGAACTCAAACAGTTCATCACTCAGTCATAGAAAAAGTATAGTATTCTACTTGCGTGTAATGGCTATTACTCATTCGAATGATTACGACGTTCGCCTGCGGCTCACGTCGCAAACTTCATTCTCATGAGTAATGGTCATCATTACACGCTCGTCGAATAATATACTATTACCTATCCAATTGCATAAAACCTCGAATTCAAAATCAGAAATTCCATTGTGAAATTGCATGTGGGAAAATGAAAAGTACATCATTCGAATCAGCTTTTTGTGCACTTTCCAAATGTATAAGCGAATTTTGAGAATTCGAAAATACAGGGTGTTCTTCTGGGGGTCCAGAAATATGATCAATTTCCGTTAATCCAGACCTGGATTTTTCTCGTGGATGCTTGGTGAGGCGCTTGGGTAGAATAAGGAGAACTCGTGTACCAAAGTCCAAAAGAATTAATATTTTGGGTGGTTCGTGATAATTGTTGTTATTCGATTGGGAAAACTCAAAACATATTATTTTTACCTATCCAAATGCATAAAACCTCGAATTCAAAATCAGAAATTCCTTAGTGGAATTGCGTGCGGGAAAATGACAAGTATATCATTCGGTTCAGCTTCATGTGCACTTTCCAAATATGTAAGCGGATTTTGGGAATTCGAAAATACAAGGTGTTCTTTTTGGTGTCCAGAAATATTATCAACTTTTGTTAATCCGGACCTGGATTTTCTTCGTGACTGATAGATGAGTAACTTTGGTAGAAAAAGAAGAAATTTTGTACCAAATTTAAAGAATATACTAAGTGGTTCGTAAGTAATGTCCTCACAAAGAATTGGGCAAAATTGATAAAACACCCTATATCTCGGATATAAAACTTGTGAGACCTTACAAATATGGTATATTCAGAACCACTTTGATGAGCTTTACCCACCGTTGAAGTTTTTCCGTTTCCCAATGGGACACCCTGTATACACTGAACGTAATGTTAGAATTTCCATCTGGAGGAATTGATGACGACAGAATCCGTTCGTGAGAGACCTGAGATTATTTTAATGGTTCTTTCTTGGAGTACGAATACTGAATTCTACTTCACTGAATTGCCTCAGAAGGCAATTCCATAGGACATGTCATTGTGTGAGTAAAAGTTTGCGAAATATACTATCTTCTGGGTATCTATGTTCATACCGTACCCCTTCAAGGTTCTAAGAGCAGAACAGGTGCTACTAAGTTTTTTGATTAGGTGGAAGATATGCTGTTTCCAGTTCAATTGAGTTTCCAATATGAAACCAAGGCATTTAAGTCATCCACGAATGACACATTGAAAGCCACATTATTATTACATGTAGCAACAGGCCTCTGACAGAAGTCAACACGATGGGTCTTGGATAAGTTCATACCTATATTATTTATTTCACACTAGTTAGTTATTTGGACTATAGTCGAATTCAGATTCTCAATGGACTCTTGTGAGTTGGTACTATCAATTATAAATGAAGTGTAATCTGCAAACATTGTTGTAGTGCCTTGGTAATATTCAGTGGTGAATCGTTTGTGTACAGGACAAATATAGCAGTGGTCCCAAAATGCATCCTTGTGAGACACCTGTATTCAGGCGACCCCAGTTCGAGTAGGCCATTTTCTAATCAGAAAAAAGGCTCAACCTCTGCTTTCTCCCATCAAGATAGCCGGTGAATCATTTGAGTGGTGTGCCTCTAATGCCATAATGACATAATTCAATCAGTTAAATTTCGAAACTTACAATAATAAAAAACCTTCTTGAAGTCACAAGCTGAGCCAATTGTTTTGAGTTTAGAATCCATTCTTTTGTAGATATTTTGGGTCATGTCGTACAATGCCGAGGATGTTGATTTTTGTTCAAGAGCCCATGTTTATTTGGGGATATGGTCTAACATACAAACAAAACTGAAAGGAGTCTTTTGTGTACTAGTTTTTCTAGTAGTTCGGCTAATGTAGGCCTATAAGAGAATTCAAACAATCACCTCCGCCGCAATTCCGTAAAAAAATTAGAAGCAATTTGTTGAATCATACTTTACATGTGAGACAATAAGTGAAAATGTAGATGTCAATCTAGAATCAGGTTGTTAGGTTTAGGTTTAGGAGGAGTATCAGGATTAGAGCACAGGTTAAGTTTGAGAATAGCTTCCCAGCTAAACTTTGACTGGTGCACATACCATCTATCTAATATTACTATATAATACTATTTTGAGGACATAACGACGAATTATCATTATTATAATATGGCTCGATGATTGAAGCCGCAGGACATGATAGGCGCATCACGTCACGTGCCAACCTCGTAGTCACATGTTTCCGTGTATACGGATACTTAATGGATGTGGAGTGTGGACAATTCGAAAGCTACAAACCAGCACAGCCAGTAAGCCGCAGGTGGCGCTCAAAATCTGGAACTTGGTCCTCCAATGGAGATTCCCCAGCAGCTGTTCCATCACCAGAGGAAACGCCATGATGCCTATGGCAGTACCAGTGACCGAAATTGCGGTAGCCAGTGCACGCCACCTAGATTGAGAGGCAGTCAACATGTTAATTATGGGCAAAGATTACACGTACGCCTCTTGAGAGCCTTGAGACATAATTTGAAAGCTGTCTAAGAACGAAACTCAAAGTTCTGAGATTATACTTTCTATGAAGTTTTTTGTTAATGATCTAATAATATCAAATTCCTAGCCTACAGAGAAAGGAAGTGACGACAGCATAACAGTGAGATGCAAGTGGTAAGGTGAGGGCGGACTTAGTAGAGCATATATATATTCTTAGTTCTTTGGTTATTGTACAGGGTGGTCCACTTTTCAGCAGTAAAATTGGTAGAATGCCTTATTTTGAGAAGTAAGGCTTTTGTAAGGAGCTTCATTTTCGAGACACAGTGCGTTCAAGTTGAAAGGAGAAATTGATTCTCCTTCAATTACTAGAGTACCAATCAACAAAAATACGAGATATTCTGCACTTCACACACTGATGTATAAGCGAATACATTCGAAGTATTTTGAAACTTACGTACATCAATATCATTGGCGTCGTTAGGAAAGTATCAAATGTTATTATAAAAATATAATACAGAATGCGTAGTTTTATAATGGAATTACTCATTTCGAAAATGATGACAACAAAGGTACATATATCTTCAGCTGGCATATCATGATTTCCTAACATCTATACCACCAACTTGTTTAGAATATGAAAGAGTCTTTTCCGCAGCTGGTACCATTTGCACAAAAATCAGCACTCGACAGCTCGCAGATAATACCCTTTACGAGTGGAATTTTGTACGCTCCTGGTTATCAACATTGTAAGTAATAAATGTTCGGCCTGTTTTTTTCCTTAATTTTTTATGTATAGATTTCATTTTTTGTTCATATAGGAGTAAGTATCTTCAGTATACACCATATAATTTTCAAATTTTAATTTCCATTCCGAAATCCCGGGATCCCGTGTTCGTATCAATTTGATCCCGGAATCCCGGGATTTTATTATTACTCCGGGATTGTAAATCCTACTTGCTACATAAATGAATACATTAAATCATCCAAGGCTGGCCCAGAATGATATACAGTGTGTCCATCTTAAGGACTTACCACCCCTGTAAAATCGTTATTATCTGACCGATTTCGAAAAACATTTTTTTGTTGGATAGGTATTCGAAATGTCCATCCAACAAGAGAGTGATTTTATTCTTGGACTGTTATCACGGCCAACTGCGACTAATTTCAATGACCCATATTTCAGTAAGTACTATTAGGGATTTAAAAAAAAAATGATAGAATCTGAATCAGGATCGATTGAATAATACCTTCGCCGATTTTCATCATAAAAAAACACAGGGTGTCCAAAAAACGAATTATTATTTTTTTTGAATAGTTGATCGGAAAATGTACTACTGTCGTATTTTTGGAAAAAACCAATGACAAATTATCATTGAGGATTACTTTCGAATATATCTGTACCAATTTTCATCACTCGAATATACAATGAGTCTGAGAAACAAATTAAGAAGGATATGTAGCAATATTTTTTATCATGATAATTCTTCACTCGAAAAATAATTATGAATCAGGATCACTTGAAACATATCTGTACCGATTTTGATTATCATCAAACACAGGGTGTCCAAAAAATCAAATTATCATTTTTTTGAATTGATAATAAAATATAACCTACTTATTCTTTTTTATTTTTTTCTCAATAATATCGTATATTTGAATGATGAAATTCGGTACAGATATGTTCGAATTAGTTCTCAATGATGATGTGTCATGGATTTCTTTCAAAAATACCACAGTACTACATTTTCTGATGACGTATTAAAAAAAATAAATAATAATTAGTTCTTTTGGACACCCTATGTTCAATAATGATGGAAATCGGTACAGGTATGTTTTGAGTTATCGTGATTCAGAATCCTCCATAATTTTTTTTTGAGAACGAATCCCTAATAGTACTTTCTGAAATATGGGTCGATAAAGCTGGTCGCAGTTGGCCACGATAACAGTCCAAGAATACAATCATTCTCTTGTTGAATAGACATTTCGAATACCTATAAAAAAAAAAGTTTCTCGAAATCGGCCAGATAATAACGATTTCACAGGGGTGGTAAGTCCTTAAGGTGGACACACTGTATGTACTGCGCATACTCGTCCACCAACTCTTTCAAGCCAGTCACATGGTGTGTGCGAGTTAAAAATTAACGTAGAACTAAGACTAGCAGTATTGTCAAAAACTATTGATACTATCGATAGTACCTAAAATCGATATGGAATTTCGTTCGAAAAATATACTTGTCCTATTTTTTTTTTCTCCAGTTAGATCAATCGTGCTGGAAATAATCACATTATAAATAACAAAGAACCATATCAATGGAGTCTATATGAACGATTTGGGTACGAAACATCAGGAACAAAAATATTCGAAAAATTGAAGAGAAAAATAAATAGCAAAATAGAAATTAATTTTGTCTACTTCAGGCAAGCGCGGTCCTGAAGTGGATCTCTAGGGAAATGACTAGTTTTTTTTTTTCAGGATTGAGATATATCAATTTTGCTGTTTCATTTTGATTGACTCTTATAATTTCAATATTTCTGTCAGTTTTTTTGTTGATTCGATTATCACATTTTTTCTCTATGGAAAACATAAAAAAATTGATCTCAATGCTCTACCCACCATACAACCGCCCTTGACATCAGATTTGAACCTTGATCTCCTGTCACTAATTTATTTGTCCAGTTTGATAGACAATCTTCTTGGACAGATGTAGCTGAGACATACAATTTTTTTCTATAAATTGTTTTTGCTGTTCCAATTACATAATTTTCATTTGAATCTTCTCTTCTTGTTGGAATTGGGTTTTTGAAGATTACCTTAGGAGCTGAATGAGTCGCAACATTTTGGATCGATAGTTATTCGATAATATTCAAAAACTATCGATTGTGCTATCGATAGTTTTCGACCACTAATTTTTTGCTCAAAGGGCCAGTGTACACACGTCAAAGTATCGATACAGAACTAGAAACAGAAAGTGGTTTCGTTCTTAGTCAGTTTACTTGCAGGGCTCTCTTGTAATATTTGCGCGCCATCAAACAAGCGTCTAGCGATACCATTTGCACGGTGGCTCTCTGAATTATGAAAATGTAATAATGTAATGAAAGGAAGGAAATAGTAGATTGTTTTATCAGGATCAAAAGTGACACTTTGTTTGACAAGCGAATTTTGCATTTTCGAGGCGGAGGAGCGTCTAGCGAAGCCGAACAAAAACAAAATTTGCGAAAAGAAGGGAAATTACTTATGTGGTTATTCAGTAATTTATGTAATCGCGAAAAAGTGGAATGGAAGATGAAAGGACCTGTAGTTCTTTTTCGGAGATGATGTTATTGGCTTATTTTTTGGAACTACCACAACAAAAGCCATCAACAGTGTATATACAGGGTGAGTTATGATTAACTAGTCATGGCCCAATGGCAGATAGAGGGATTAAGGGTGAGTTGATAGATATGTGAAAAAGTATAGTCTGCCTATTTGTAACAAAAATACAGGGCATTATTTGAATCGGGGGCAAAATTTTGATGAACGATATTTTCAAATGTCGAATCAATATTTCCTTCAAATCAAACACATCAATATTACCTAATTTTATTATCTTCATTTACTATACTATACTACATTATTTCTAAATTCCATATTGTTTCTATTCACTAGACTATAACGAATAACATTTAGATATCCAAATACAGGGTGTCCCTAAAAGGTGCGGAAAAAAAGCTACCACAAGTTCCTGAGGCGTAAATATGACGATCTAACTCAACTTACCTCAGTCCAAAAGTGGATGATTTCAGAGATACAGAGTGTCAAAAGTTCAATCTGATTTTCATTTTTTATAAATATTTTTTTTAATAATTGGTGTATTGTCACAATATTCGGCTTGGGGGGAATTGGCTGGTTGAGAAATTAGAATTTGCTATCATTTTTATTGTAAAGTTGAGAGGGCGCCACCTGCGGAACCCTGCACACATTTGAAACGAAATAACTTTTTTGAGCCACCCCATATTTAATTTTTAAATGAAAATTCGGATTGTCCAACGTCTTTTACATAAAAAATGTATACGTAGTAAGAGTTGATTTGAGCAGCTGTTTTTGAGATATCTGGATTTTAAAAATTCACCTCGTAAATGGCCAGGTCTAATAATAAAATTGAACACATTTGAAGCGTAGGCGGTAAATTAAAATAACGTCACTAAATACTTAGAAAAAAAAAGAAGTAGGTACATAAATATGTTGGTAATTTTATTATCTAGTAAAAATAGTCATTAGGAATAGGAATAGGAGATGTATCAACAACAAAAGTTTAATTTGATTTGATTAAAAAAAATGATTTTAACAAATGTTCAATTTGAAAAGTTAAATTGAACACTTTGGAGCATTCCGTCATCATTTCTTGAAGCGTCAATATCAGTTTGAATACGTCTCCTTAAATCATCTTCTGTATTTTACTGGCCTAGAATACACAAGGGTTTTCAAAGCTCCCCATAAAAAATAATCCATCGGTGTCAAATCAGGGGACCGAGCTGGCCAATTTGCAGGTGCGTCATTGCCTCTACCTATCCATCTATTTGAATACTGTTCATTCAAATAATTACGTACGTTAATTGAAAAATTCGGAGGAGCACCGTCATGCATAAACCACATTACCCTGCGAAGTTCCAAGGGTAGGGGATCTAATAGGTTTGGTCATTCGTTTCGCAGATGTTCCAAATAATTTTCTCCATTTAGTCGAGGTGGTAGAATGACAGGACCAAGTATGAAAGTGCCTATGATTCCTGCCCACACATTGACCTAAAACTCATGCTGATAATGGGTTACTTTAGTCGCATGGGGATTTTCTTCAGCATAGACATGTTCATTGTGCAAATTAATAATGCCACTCCGCGTGAAACAGGCTTCATCTGTGAATAAAATTCTTCGTGTAAAGTTCCTATCTGGATTTCGGTGTTCTTGGATGAACCCGCAGAAAG